CGAAGAAGACATGTCTGCACATAGACAGGGCTCCTTCCAAAAGGGACTCTCGACCAGGGGGGTCGCTGGAGGGTCTGTTGGGGTTCTGTAAGGAATACTCTACAGGACTTCCATAATTCTTGTACAGAAATGTTTAAGATTGAAAGCAACATGCAGATAACTTGGCTCGCCTTCATCAACTGGCACAGGTAAAGCGTGCAATCGCACGATTGCCAGCAACATGCAAGATGCAGCTGCATGCATACGCACATGCATGCATACATACAGACACGCTTGCACACGTGCAGCATACATTCAACGATGCGTGCGCGCTGTGCGCTATTAAGAGCAAGTGTGTCTCGCAAAATACCGGAAACTTCGCAAAGTCGCGCATGAAAGCGACTATACATTACTTTAAAACGCAGCTTACCGTGCCATACCCAGAGAGCCCAATACCCCTTAAATCATAATATTAAGGTCCCCATAATTTAAGGTGTATTCCTTAATTAAGGGGTCTTGGGCTCCCTGGGTACTTTGTGGATGGGTTCAGCAAGGGTTTTCAATTTTCGAGCCGACATCCCTCGCTAGACCTTCCATGGTGACAAAGGTCTGTCTAGACCTTAAATCCTGAAATTTGAACCCTAAACCATAAGCCGTAGGCCCTAAATCCTAAACCCTGAACCCTAAACCCAAAGCCCTAAACCCAAAGCCCTAAACCCGAAGCCCTGAACCCTAAGCCCTGGGTCCTGCAGACGTCGGGCAGCGGTGAAGGACACTGCGAGGCGTGTTGGATCTATCGGGATCCTCGGTCTGCCAGTTCCCAAACCTTCCAATACGGTTGATGATATAAAAAGGGCCTGTAGGGGTTTAGGGGTTTAGGGTTTAAAGTTTTGGGGTTGAGGGGCTTAGGGTTTAGGGTTTAGGGGTTTAGAGCTTTAGGGGTTTAGGGCTTATAGGGTTTGTAGGGTTTGGAGGCTTAGGGTTTAGGGGTTTGGGTTGAAGGACATAGGGGTTTAGGGTTTAGGGGTTTAGGGTTTGTAGGGTTTATAGGGTTTATAGGATTTATAGGATTTATAGGGTTTATAGGGTTTATAGGGTTTGTAGGGTTTAGGGTTGATGATATAAATCCTGCATTACCCATACTAAGAAAATTTTCCATAATTCCCATAGCTTAGGGTCCTTAAGGTCATGCAGGATTTGTACCATCAACAGTATATCCCTTCATTAAGGAACGGTTCAGCGAAGTTACCGGAAGTGTTTAGGGTTCAGGATTATATAGTAGGATCCCTGATACGATTTAAGGTATATTCCTAAATTAAGGAATATACCTTAAGTTATCGTGAGATCCGTAATACGACTTAAAGTATACCTGGGGCCAGAATGCCGACCTTGTTAAGGAACTCTCTCTATACATATATATATATATAGCAACAATAAGGAAGCCTAGGAAGGTAGGTCTTGTCGGCTACAGGTATCCCTAGACCCTAACCCCTAAAACCCTAAACCCCAACACCCCAAAACCCCAAACCCTAAACCACAAACCCTGAACCCCTAAACCCTGAAGAGATTTTGGAAGCTATGAAAGCTCTTGCAGCTATGACTGGGGGGGGTGTCATGGGGGTCTTCCTCTGACTGGTTCTTAGCAGGGAATGGAGGAATGGGTTTTTGGGACTACTATCGGGGACGTTGAGGGGCTATCATACGGTTGATGATATAAATCCTGCATTTTCCCCGAAATAAGGAATATACCATAATTCCCATAGTTTAGGATCCTTAAGGTCATACAAGACTTATATCATCAACAGTAGGGGTCCGGGTTTTTGACTACTATAACCCTAAACCCTAAACCCTAAACAGGGGACCTTAAGGGACTATCATAGGGATGCATTCCCCCACTAGGTTCCTGAGTGAGCCCTAAATAATAAGGGTACCCTTTTTCCTAATATTCGGTTTTAATAGGGAGAACCCAAAATAAAAAGGGCAAAAGGGTACTACTCAGTATCATAGGGATGCATTCCCCCATTTCCTACTAAGAACCAGGTCTTCCTCAGCAGTTTCGGGGTCCTGTTCCTCAGCGTCACAAAGTGGTTTCAGAAGTTCTGGGGTTCGTGCCTTTTTTTTGGGGTTTAGGGTTTTTTGGGTTTTTGGGGTTTAGGGCTTTAGGGCTTTTTGGGGTTTAGGTTCTAGGGTTCAGGGGTTTTTGCGTTTAGGGCTTTAGGGTTTCGGGTTTCAGCGCTTATAGGGTTTATTGATTTGTGTCCCAGGATGCGGACCCCTACTTGAAGGAAACTCAAGATGTGTTGGCCAGGGGGGTTCTACATTTGTGCAACAACGTCTTCTGTTGGAAGCCTGCAGGCTACAAATGCTCCATTTCAGGGAGGTGCAACGTCATATTCTCGATCTGCAGTCTACCATGTAGTCTATGGTTTTTGTCGGAAGACACCGCTCTTTCCGAGGTGTTGCGTTCGAAACGACAGGACCCCAAACCCTAAAGCATTCAACCTGCATCCACCACCCCTTTAGGGTTTAGGGTTCAGGGTTTAGGGTTAATAACCCTAAACCCTAAACCCTTAAACCCCAAAGCCCTAAACCCTAAACCGAGTGTCAGCGTGGCGAGGACAGTGGCGAAGGCGGCCGTGACCGAATCATCGGACATAAAGTCTTGGGAGTTGTTTACCTGGGTTTGGCGCTGGTGCAGGGGCAATACTGTTGATGATATAAATCCTGCGCTACCTTAAGGACCCGAAACTATGGAGATCCTGGTATATTCCTTATTACGGGGTAATGCAGGATTTCTATCATCAACTGTAGGATGATATAGGGGGTCTGATGAACAGAAGAGGGTTTGAGTGGGTTAATTAATGGGACAAGGACTAGACGAGGGAAGGGATAAGTTTTCATCCTTCATACTACGATGTAGTGTAGGTTGTAGGAGCAAAAATCACATGTTTGTACAAGTGGCAGCCACGATGAAGCGGCCAGTGACGGCCACCCGAATCTCGAACAGTAAATCAGTGTTGGTTGTCGTCATGGTGGACACTGTTGTGCTTGTGATCGTCTGCGTCACCACGAGGAAGGAGCATGCGGGGAAGGCACCGACGAGGCCGGCATCTGCAGAGCAACTTAGAACTGAGCCGGGGCCCTCCCAGCCTTCAGCGCAAGAGACATTGCCTGGGTGGTTGCTAAGGAACGTAAGTTAAAGCACGAAATTTACAAAGGTATGTACCATAGCTCCCTATTTATGGTAGCTTTGAGTTCCATACAAAAAGAGCCCAGATGCAGCTACCGCCGGTCACCACTCCATCACAGTCATGCTGGTACTGGGCCCCAGAAGGAAAGTTGTAGAAGCATCCCAGGGGGACGCAGTTGGGCACAAAACCTCTCAAGCCGACGTCACCTCAGGAACAGGGTTTTTTTTTTAGAGGGCTTACAGGGTTTAGGGGTTTAAGGGTTTATGGTTTTTATAGGGCTTTAGGATTTAGGGTTTAAGGGTTGGGGTTTTGATAGGTTTTATAGGGTTTAGAGTTTAAGGGTTTGGGTTTTGTATAGGGTCAGCTCAGGAACAGGGTTTTATAGGGTTTAGGATTTAGGGTTT